GTATGAAAATGTGCTATATAAATAAACTTGTCTTGCCATCGCAGCAGTGTCACGGAGACACATCACGTCCTGTTCAATTTTCACTGGATTTATCAGCCACCTTTAAATAACATTTTGGGTGCAGGGCTTTTAACTGTAACAGAGTATTTCTACTTTTACTCAAGGAAAAGATCTGAGTACTCGTTCCACCGCTGAGGAGGCAACGGAGCCACGTCTCCATGGTAACAGCACATCTGTGGACCCTCTTTAGTTTATTCTCAATTACGACGAGGACTACGTTATTTTTCCTATTCTACATTTTACCAGCGGAAAAGCAACAACGTTAGCAGCTGCTCCATTTAACGGCTAAACTTAAGGAGACGAATTTATTTTGTGGCTTCCCGAAAAGCAAACGGACGGAAACATGTCAGACAACACGCAGGAGATGTGAGTGAGATGGATGAATTAATATTTATCTGATGCTACATTTGCGACATTTCTTGGAGTAAATCTGAATTTGTGGCAAAGTCTATCTCCACGTTAAATAACGTTAGTTTCAGTGATTTGGATTATAACTTGGGTTATGTTTCGTTTAACTTAGAAAAGATACTAGATGGGGGGAAACTGGGATAAGATTAGCTGAGCATTGGGTTTATTAAAAGAGATATGTTTTGCTTAATGAAACAAACTGATTGAGAAACGTATCTGACACAAAGCCCAACTGAATAAGTTAACTTGCTAATTTAATGACATCATCCCAACTGATGCCAACTGGCGTTAGCTAGTTATCCCTTATCAAACACAATTAGCTAACGTTAACGCACTTATTTAATGCAGCTTATAAATTAACACAATTTGAAATTTTAAACATACAGAAAGGTCACAGTGCAAAGTGCCTGTAAGCTCGTGTTACTTTACTAACACACTTTAATCAATTCAGAACGTTCGACTTGCTAATGCTACATGCTAGCGTTAGCAACGTTAGCTACCGTTAGCGCTGTTTTACCAAGCAAAGCGAACTGTTAGAGACTCGCGACTTAACGTACCTTCTCCAGGCAGGATGTTAAAGTTGAAAAACGTACACAAATTAAGGTCAGTAAACCACGGTTTCTGCTCTTAGCACCGTGTGTGTGTGTGCAGGTGAATTTTACTGACTGTCATCCATTCATTCCTCACACGTGGGCTTGTTTTTAGGGATAGTTGTCTCGACAGTAAAACCGGATGAAGCGGTTCACTGATCTATAAACTCCCTCCGGAGACAAAGAGGGCGTCCGGGTGACTTGTAGATCTGCGATTCACTGAACAATTGAGGCTCCAATCGTAGACGCACATACACCCCAACACTAGAGAAACTCTTCTCTAAAAACACCATAAATTTAACTTTGTGGACCCGTAAGTTGAAGAAATAATACAACACTATAACAATACTTCAAATCAGTTCTTTTAGGATTCTGAGTGAAAGCACAAAGGTATTGGGAGACAAATGTACTTAAAGCATCAATATTAGATATATATTACAATTCTGGATTATTAGATGGACCTATGTTTCCATGTGTGAGTAGCATTGTGGTGCTAATTATAACTGATGATAGGCAGTTTACACATGATCACCGTTTCCATGTAAATGTATAATTCATAGATTGAACGCAAGTCGCTGGTTTTGATCTGTTCACTGTATTTTATTTGAAAACTGCGACTTATTGTACAAACTATGAATTAGCAGTGAAGTGTCAACGTGCAGGAGTCCTGACCGGAGCAAATCAGCGCGTCCACTTGAATGAATGGACCGCCAATGGTGACCGATGGGAGGGGAAAGCTCTTCTATAAATCCCGGTCTGAGGACACCGCACTGACCGGAGAGCTGTCGGGACGGTGTCGGTGAGTGAGAGCGAGCTCCTCGGCTGGAAAAACAGGAATCTTTGTATCGACCCCTGGTACTAGTAGTAGTACTAGTAATAGTAATAGTAATAGTAGTAGTAATAGTAGTAGTCGTACACAAGTCCAACAGCAGGTAGGAATTAATTTCATCCTAATTCCGTTACACAGGCTGAATGTGTGTGTTTAACGATGAAACGGTGGCGGGGCGGCTCAGAGCCGGTCCTGGCCTCGTGTGTTTTCGTATGAACTGTTGCGATACGTGGCATCAGGTCTCTAAATGTAACTGCTATACATGTCTGTAAGTGTGTAAACGCTGTCAGGACACTTTGTTCAGTGCGGAGGTTTCATCGTCTGTCTGCGCTTTAACTGTTGGTCACTGCATTCGAACATCCACAACAATCTCGTTATTAGTTTGGCTTCTTTTCACCATCTCTCCCCTCCATCCTCCGCCCAGGGATCAGCCATGCCTTTCGGTAACACACACAACCAGATGAAGATGAAGTTCACCTCGGAGCAGGAGTACCCCGACCTCAGCAAACACAACAATTATATGGCCAAGGTCCTGAGTCCAGCCATGTACGAGCGGCTGAGGAGCAAACAGACACCCAGTGGCTTTAGTCTGGATGATCTCATTCAGACTGGGGTTGATAACCCAGGTAAAAACACCAACGGCCACCTGTCCCGTCCAGTCCGATCGCGGCGCTCAGGCTCCTTTGTTCCCGCGGGGCAATGCACTGTGACCTTGTCAGGGGGGTACAACTTTTAAAGGCTGACAATTAGAAACTCTGACCTCCACCTCATTTTCAGGGCCATGTTGCACAGCTTTATTGTAAATGGGAAGCTTGCCAGTGTTACATAAAGTTTGCAGCAGCTGATAACCTTCAGTTTTATGTCAGCTGTAAAAGCTTATCAGCTGCAGCCAAGCCCAAACAGTGTGACTGGTGTAGGAACCACAGAGAGAATTCAGATTAACTTGGTGACTATGGCAGGCAGCGTCTCTCACCCTGTAGACTGTGTTTCTGTGTAGCTCTGAGCGTATGGCCAAGCTGTCCCTGAGGGGTTACTCAGTTGAGGAAGAGTTCCCAGATCTCTGTAACCACAACAACCACATGGCCAAGGTCCTGACTCTGGCCATGTACGAACGGCTGAGGGACAGACAGACGCCCAGTGGCTTCACCCTAGATGATCTCATTCAGACAGGGGTTGATAATCCTGGTACAGTACCACAGTCCCATCCTGAAGCCAGATGACACTCGGCACATTGAGTTAGCAAGGACGGTAGATTGCTTCCTGTCCACTGCCTCCTGTGACTTTGACTTTGTGTGTAGGCCACCCCTACATTTTGACTGTGGGCTGTGCTGCTGGAGATGAGGAGACGTACGAGGTCTTCAAGGAGCTGCTGGACACTGTGATTCATGACAGACATGGAGGATACAAACCCACAGACAAGCACAAGACTGATCTGAACCCAGCCCACCTGAAGGTACTGCAGCACTGCTGCCCTTTCACCAGGCTGAATGTGTAACAGTGGCACTGACCAGAGAAACCAGCATTTGTCATTCTCTCCTAGGGTGGTGATGACCTCGACCCCAACTACGTTCTGAGCTCCCGCGTCCGCACAGGGCGCAGCATCCGGGGCTTCTGCCTGCCCCCACACTGCAGCCGAGGAGAGAGACGCGCTGTGGAGAAGCTCTCCATCGAAGGTAAACGCCACTTTCACCGGTGACTGCGGAGAGTTGGGTAATGTTGACAGCACAGGTACTGACACTGACTGCATCAGTACTTGGTGCCATCATCCAGCCAGATGGAGAGGTGGCTGCAGCTGAATGCTTCTGTTGTGTAAAACACCAGAACATGAGTCTGTGGCCTGACACTGCTCTGATCCCAGTGAGGTTGAGCATGATGCTTGTTGGCCTCACTGTGGCAGTGGGTGCCCTCTAGTGGCAGCAGCTAGAGTAACACATGGCAGCACAGTAAAGCTAACCTACAATCAGCTGTTTGTTAAATATCTGAGTTTGCAGTTCAGAAAGCAGAACCAGGGTTTTTTTTTCTAAATAACTAATGGTTATCAAAATAGTTTTGCCTTAATCAGGCAATTCTTCATCACCTAACCTGAACAATTCAAGGCTGAAGCGCCAGCGTTAGTATTTTGCTTTGAAGAATAATTTTAAAACCAGCCTTTGGTCCCTGCAGCTCTGGCCTCCCTGACTGGAGACCTGAAGGGGAAATACTACGCCCTGAAGGACATGACGGAAGCTGAGCAGCAGCAGCTCATTGATGACCATTTCCTGTTTGACAAGCCAGTGTCTCCTCTGCTGCTGGCCTCAGGGATGGCCCGTGACTGGCCTGACGCCAGGGGCATCTGGTGAGGCTTTGTTTTTACTGCCATCTGTCACCAGCCTTTGTAAGTCTTGCTCTTGGTAGAGTTGATTTTGAAGCTGAATTCCACTTTTTCTGTCTCTGACTTAAGGCACAACGATAACAAGACATTCTTGGTGTGGGTGAATGAGGAAGACCACCTGCGTGTGATCTCCATGCAGAAAGGAGGCAACATGAAGGAAGTGTTCACTCGCTTCTGCACCGGTCTCACCAAGGTTGGTAGGACACAAGGTTCTTTCAGAACAAGTCCATTTGCTGTGGGAGGTTTCCTGTCTGCATGAGCAGCCCTGTTTTTGTGTTTAGATTGAGAGCCTGTTCAAGGAGAGAGGCCACGCTTTCATGTGGAACGAGCACCTGGGCTACATCCTCACCTGCCCATCCAACCTCGGCACAGGTCTGCGTGCAGGCGTACACGTGAAACTGAGCCACATGAGCAAACACGCCAAGTTTGGGGAGGTTCTCAAGAGGCTGAGACTCCAGAAACGTGGAACTGGTACAACATCTCGATTTTGAATTTCTACCTGCAGTATTGATCTACATCTTAAAGTTGATGTAGTAAAGTAAATGCATCTTTTGCCCTAAGATGCTGGATGGACCAGCTAGACTATGAAGTCACCCAGTTTGGTCTGGAAGAGAGCTAAACTTTGTTTTCTGTCCATCAGGTGGCGTGGACACGGCTGCTGTCGGCGGAGTGTTTGACATCTCTAATGCCGACAGGCTGGGCTTCTCTGAGGTGGAGCTGATGCAGATGGTGGTTGATGGAATCAAGCTGCTGATTGAGATGGAGAAGAGGCTGGAGAAGGGCCAGTCCATTGATGACCTCATGCCCGCTCAGAAGTAAAACCATCTTAAAGCCATGCACCCATCCCCTTCCCTGGGATTGGATGTTTAACCCTGTCCTAGAATGCACTCAGTACTACAGTCTGGATTTGTTTGTGTATTTAAGATGTCAGTTCCTGTACTGTGAGGATGGATCTGGAATTGAATAAAACATGCAGTTCAAGTGGAACTCTGATCCCTGCAGTGAGACTGATGTTAAAATATCACAAATCCCATCACCCTGGTGCAGTTGGCTTTCACTCTGAGCGACCTGCAACTGTGGTAACTGTTGTGCTCTTCTATAAACTGGTTGAGAGATGACAAAACTGAAGTATCACAAATGTTCCCCTGCAGACTTTGATTCATATATCACCACCTCAGTCTCACATGTGTAGAAATTTAAAGTTTGACTTCAGCTGAAAGACTGTAATCCACAAGCTGGACTGGGATGAGAAACACTCCTGAAGGCAGCAGCTGTTTAGAACAAAATGTTTTAAACTTGTGCTGTATATAGTTTAGTCAGTGACATATTTAGCTTTACCTAAAACACAATTTCATGAACTTAATGGCCTTAAAGGGCCACTCCACCCTTCTACACAACACTTCTGTTAAAAGTGAGTTTGAAACTTGAAGGGTTTGAAAGAAGTGTTCATCACATTGTGTAAAGCTTGAATGGCATTATGGGAATTGTAGGATCCAGTAGAAGACATCCTAGCTTCAGTTCAGACCCGACCATTTTCAGGAAATGGTTCCTACTGGTTGTAAAAATAAGTTGGTCTGAGCTAAACCAAAAGGACCATTAGGAAGACAAGTGTGCCAAAACATTTTATAAAGGTATAAGCACAGATTAAAGCATTTTTACTTTTTAAACTATAGTTAAAATCAACTGCTTTAATAACTCGATACTAGAAGCTCCACACTGGAGCTGCAAATCACATTTGTTTTCACCTTGAAAACAATGTCACCTGTCAATGATCAGCTTGAGACAAAGCATTCAAGTTGACAAGATACTTTAATTGCGACACGAGTGACCCTTAACCATGTGGGCATTTACAGACTGCCCATCTAATTAAAGAAATACAAAAGAAAAAAAAGTATTGCAGTGAAGCCGTCTGCAAAGATACATTATTTACACTGAAAACAAAACACTACGTAATTTTTTTTCTTTTTCCAGGAAAGAAAGAAAAATAAATAAGACTAGAAATGCTTTTTGTCCACATTCACAGCATAACAGATCATATTCAACTCCATGTCGAGCCTGTGTGGCCAGAGCAGACCGAGATATTAGTATGTAATTCAGTTGATTATTGCCAAAAGCCTTAATCTATACATTAGAATATTCGATACATACTCTGTTTAAAAAAGGAGACATTTGGAAACTGCTACGAATGATTGTACAGCTTACTCGTTGGCAACTTTGGAAGCAATGTTTTTGAAAGCGATGGATGATCCGGATATCCGTTTGAACCTGACGCCGTTGAGCGAGAGGCGGGGCAGTTTGCACACCTCCATCTCCCATTGGACCAGGTTTTCGGCTTGCTCATCCCCATGGACGCAAAGAAGCAGGAAACTCTCTTGCTGTTCGTAGTCGCAGTTGTTGGCATCGAGCACTTTGCGAATCTCCCGCATGATATCGCAAGGCTCCATGGAGCTGGTGGTCCTCATACTCCAAGTGAATCTGAGGGAGCGGGGTTTACCGTCTTTATTTTCTCCTTTTTGATCCCCAGGTACATGGCGACTGTCGGGAGACCAGAACAAAAAGAAAGACAAGCTTCAGTTTTTGACTCAGGGTAGATTTAAAGATTCAACACCCACCTTCATGAAAGAATTAAGCTTTTCATTCATCTGAAGACAAAACATGATGTCTGTCACTATGAGCCACATTTTAAAGGAGTAGTCTGACATTTTGCAGGGCTATCTGCTGTATTGCTGAGAGTTAGACCAGAAGATCCAGACCATTTTGTACACTCCAGTTAGCTTAGCACAAAGGCTAACAGCTAACACCACTGAGTGACACAGTCCATTTTGTTTAATCTGAACAAAAACTGAATTTACACATTTGTGTTTTCCTGCACTATTTCTCAGCAAGAAAGCAAATGTATTCGTTTAAAGAATATTTAGCTTGTGGCTGGTTCCACCCAGGACACATCCCAGCCCCAGGTTGTTTACGTCATGCCATCAAATCAGAGCTAAACATTGGTTTTTCCAAAACAAACTAAACTTTGAAAAACCCAAAAAGACTAAAACCTAAAAGTACCAAAATACTTTCTCAGCCAGGTAGCCGGAGATGACACCAGAGCTGCTATTAACCTTTAGTTATTTTAGATTAATCTGCCAGTTCTGTTTATGATAAATCTGCATTAAAACAAACTGGAAATGCCCGTTAGAATTCCCCACGTACCGAAGATATTCATCTTCTATCATGTAAAAAAATAAACGGATACAAGAAAATATTTGGATGTTTAAAAAAAAAAAAGATCAAAAAATGAAAATGTTTATTACTGTTATTATAATTACACTAAATCACAAGCTATGCAGAAATTCTACATTTCAGTGAAAACTTGTGAAACAGGATTTTTTAAAGTAGTAGATTAACTTTGTTTTCTTTTTTAATTCCAGATGTTAAGAAGAGTAAGTGTTTTTAAAGGACCTTCTGGGTTTTCAAAGATTGCTTTAGAGTTTCTGAAAACTCACCTCTGGGACTGTGAATGTAAACTGGGGGTAGACAGACCCGTTCTGAATTAACTTGGAGCATTTTATACAAACATGCCATGCTCACAGAGCGGTGCACAAGCACAGTGCCATGCAAACGTTCAAAATAAAAACAAGCCAAAGCAGTCAAAGGCGAGGCTGGAATACAACACAGCGTCCGACATACTGACGTATCCCCGGACAAACAGAGCAGAGAGAGTCTAAGCCTGCAGACGTGGACAAACGGAAGCCTACGTTTATTCAGGGGAGGGCAGAGGAGGCAGGTAACCTCACCTTGAGCCCTCAAGTCTCCCGTTTCTCTCAAACTCGGTTGAGACTCTGATCAGACAGGGAGAAAAACAAAGATGTGGATTGTACACGACAATTTTAGATCAATTCCAGTGAATAAAAAGAGTGAATGTGACATGTAATAAGGAGAGTGACAGAGGTGAAGCAACGAGAGCCACCACCGAAAAACAGAGAGAGAAATGGAAGCGTTTACTTCCATTAAGACCAGTGAAGGATCATGAGAGAAATCAGCAGCAATGAACGTTCAGACTGATCTTACACAGAAACCAAAAGCAGCCGACACAAAGAAAAACACCTTTCATCACAGAACACGACAGAATTAACAACATTAACGTGAACTTTAGAAGTGACAGCAGACAGCACAGCTTTTAATAGAAATGATTTAAAGGCACTGAGATGATAGTGCAGTGCTTTTTTACTTCTATTATAGAATTAATTTTCAGACTTTTTAATTTTATTAAACTATAAACATGATCCTATAAATCCAAAATAATTTAATGGAAAGTAAATAATACTGAAGTATCATCCAGCCTCATTTTTAACACTGATATTTTAAAGACTTCTATAACTGATTTAATCAATCACTTGTCATTTGACTGTTCACTGTGTGACTTCACATTAGTTGAGCTGTGATGACTGAAGACCCTGATTGTGTGTAGTGTTTTTCTTTCATCATTTCTTGTACCATTTTTGACAAATTGAGTTCATGTACAGCACTGGAACAGGAAGTTACTTAATCTTAACACTAGCAGCCATGAAAAAGCAAACAAGCACAGCTGTAATGTTCACAACACTGGGAGTGTTTGACTGCCGGTGTTGTGGACACGTGAAGCACACACACAGAGTGTGCACCTGGTTCAGCTTGATACAGATGGGAAACGCTCCCTGCAACATGATGCTGGCCGACATTCAAGCTCTAAAAATCAAACCAAATGTTCCCCAAGTTTGTGCCTGTGACTGGAGCGGCAACACGTTCAACAGCTCAACGGGATCCATTCTGTCGTTAACAAGGACGTGAGAATGCTCAACGCGCTCGTCAGTGAAAACCTGTCACAATCCTCCAGTCAGATCTCTGCCCACAGTGTCTCTCTACCAAAATCGACTTTTCATTCACGACCGACTGTGACTGTTTGGCTCCATCGGTGCAAAGCAGAGAAGAAGCTGGGTTTAAACGTGCATTAGCTCAGATTCCCCCACTGTCTGATAAACCCAGCGACAGTGAGACAGGATGTGGCATCTCTCAGCTACACCCTCCCATGACCCTCTGCTGCCTACAGCCCCCCTGTTATTCCAGCTTCTCCACCCTGTGCTGTCAAAATACGGTCTGTAAACTAGCCCCGCCCATCGCGTGGCCAAGAAGTGTTTGTCAAACCGTGACTAGTAGTTCAAAACAGCAAAGTGAGAAGCAAACAACCAACAACGACGTTTCATGTAATATGCACAAGGCCACGTTAAACTCAGCTCATATTTATTAAACATCTTTTTCTACATTTTCCTGAACCTAGTGAACGTTTCATATATTCACCCCCCTTTAACAAAGAGGCCCCCGTTTCTCAGGTACGTTCTGGCTCTTATTTCCTTCAACATAAAATCTCCTCTGACTAAAATCATTTTCTCATACATTCTTTGGCAGTAAAGTTTAGTTAGGTTTATAAAATATCAGAACTCTTTCTAATCTACTGTATTATCAAAATTCAATGTCATTTATAGGATCGGGCCGCTCAGCTTCTCTATTACTCCCCATACAGAGACTAAATACCAGATATGCATTACAATGAGTTATACTGAATATATATATATGTATATATATTCTATTTGTGCAAAACTTGTCATTTGACTGTTCACTGTGTGACTTCACATTAGTTGAGCTGTGATGACTGAAGACCCTGATTGTGTGTAGTGTTTTTCTTTCATCATTTCTTGTACCATTTTTGACAAATTGAGTTCATGTACAGCACTGGAACAGGAAGTTACTTAATCTTAACACTAGCAGCCATGAAAAAGCAAACAAGCACAGCTGTAATGTTCACAACACTGGGAGTGTTTGACTGCCGGTGTTGTGGACACGTGAAGCACACACACAGAGTGTGCACCTGGTTCAGCTTGATACAGATGGGAAACGCTCCCTGCAACATGATGCTGGCCGACATTCAAGCTCTAAAAATCAAACCAAATGTTCCCTAAGTTTGTGCCTGTGACTGGAGCAGCAACACGTTCAACAGCTCAACGGGATCCATTCTGTCGTTAACAAGGACGTGAGAATGCTCAACGCGCTCGTCAGTGAAAACCTGTCACAATCCTCCAGTCAGATCTCTGCCCACAGTGTCTCTCTACCAAAATCGACTTTTCATTCACGACCGACTGTGACTGTTTGGCTCCATCGGTGCAAAGCAGAGAAGAAGCTGGGTTTAAACGTGCATTAGCTCAGATTCCCCCACTGTCTGATAAACCCAGCGACAGTGAGACAGGATGTGGCATCTCTCAGCTACACCCTCCCATGACCCTCTGCTGCCTACAGCCCCCCTGTTATTCCAGCTTCTCCACCCTGTGCTGTCAAAATACGGTCTGTAAACTAGCCCCGCCCATCGCGTGGCCAAGAAGTGTTTGTCAAACCGTGACTAGTAGTTCAAAACAGCAAAGTGAGAAGCAAACAACCAACAACGACGTTTCATGTAATATGCACAAGGCCACGTTAAACTCAGCTCATATTTATTAAACATCTTTTTCTACATTTTCCTGAACCTAGTGAACGTTTCATATATTCACCCCCCTTTAACAAAGAGGCCCCCGTTTCTCAGGTACGTTCTGGCTCTTATTTCCTTCAACATAAAATCTCCTCTGACTAAAATCATTTTCTCATACATTCTTTGGCAGTAAAGTTTAGTTAGGTTTATAGAATATCAGAACTCTTTCTAATCTACTGTATTATCAAAATTCAATGTCATTTATAGGATCGGGCCGCTCAGCTTCTCTATTACTCCCCATACAGAGACTAAATACCAGATATGCATTACAATGAGTTATACTGAATATATATATATGTATATATATTCTATTTGTGCTTAGTAGTTTTCAGTAGGTCGTGGAAATGCAATAACGTTGCAACGTCTTTAGATTTTTATACTATTTATTTAAATGTATATATTAACATTTGCTTTTCAGTTGAATTATTTTTGAAGTTAAATAACTGATCATGTTAGTTCTACATCAGTCCCTGAATCACCACAAATAAGAAAAACGGCTTAGTAATATATCAGAACATTAGATTCAAAGCAGCTAAGCAGTAAGCTCCCTGCTCCACTGACAGGACGGGTGTATAGTGGCAGGCTCCCAGCATGCACTGCAGCCTGGAGAACAGAAAAACAGGACGGGTGGAGGAGGAAGTGACTGTGCTAACTCCTGACAGCTCGAGAGACTCGACAAACAAGAGGACGAGTGAACAGACAGGACCGACAGCAGGTCCTGGGTCGGTCAGAGAGGCTGTGAAAGTCACAAGAGTGAGGGGTGAGGCGAGGAGAGTCCCTCCACATAACTCAAGACTTTTGTCTCAGAGAGATTGAGGGATTGAAAACAGCCCCTTACTCTAGTTCTTCATCGTCCTACAACTCTCTATATCTTCTGCTCCTGAATCTGAAAGAAAAAAATGGGAATCTGAGGAAACGGCAGATTTCTCACTGGACACATGACAAAAAAAGAAAGAGAGAGAGAGGGAAAGAATATTTGAATGTATGACAAGACGACAGGCCAAAAAAAGAAGAAAAAACATGGAAGGATGATGAAAAGGAAGGAAAGGCTGACAGAGACTGGGCAGAGGACTTACTAAGGGTCTTTCCTCCCTGGGTAGAAGGGATGGCAGGCCCTGTTTTGGTTGTCTGCCGTTTGGCCGGGTCAAAATTGACCCTAGGCGGAGAGGAAGAGCAGCAAGAGGTCAAAGTTAAAGGACACAGGAAGGTTAGGAAGACAACAACACACAAACTGTGAGGAGATGAGTGGAGGAGGGAGCGGGAGGGGACAGAACCCAAAACATCCTGAGGAAGAAATGGCAAAGACTCAGTGGTCAAGTCCAAAAATGTGATGAGGATTCAATTTTTAACAGAAATATACAGACGCTCGAAAGTGACAGTAATAAAGTGAACCGTTATCAGACAAGCACAAAATATAACAGCTATTTAACACAGAATCATTAGGGAAATCATTCAAATGGAGTTTAAAGTGAAATGGAAAAGCTGATCGTTTTTTGCTTTGGCTTACATTTCAATAAAGATTTTTAATCAAGAACCTTTCGCCTGTTTTTCATCCAGACTGAAGCATGTTTTTATTTTTTGGTCAGGTTTTGAGAACTCTACTTCTGAAATCAGAGGTGAATCAAGTTTTGTTTGTGACGCCGTTACGCAGGCCTAACATCGCCATCCTAGTTTAACCTGTTAGCATGCCAATATTAGCTATTTGTTGATCCACCTCTGTAATTTGTTTTGTCCAATAATCTGGTTAAGTTCTTACAATTCATTCTGAGGGGAACATGAAGACCTGAACCAGATCTCAAACACATCCAATCATCACATTTAGGAGGCAAAATGTTTGCCTGAAAAAAAATCTAATATTTAATCTATCAACATAGCTGATGATCAAATAATCGGTCGTTTGCTACCAGGTCTATAAAAAGATTTGTTTTAACCAACCATAATTTGACTAAACCAACATTTTTATATTGATTCATCTATCTTTAGCTCACATTTACCTTTAGTTTCCTGTTTTTGTCTTGGCACATATTTAAACATCTACTAATTGTTTTCACACATTTCCAACTTGAAAATTTCCAGTTTTCCTCCCAGTTGTACGATAACGAGACGGGAATGTCCAGAATAGAGTGGAAGTGATTACCCAGTGTTTTGGTCGATGGAAAATTAAACAAAAATATAATTTGTTAAATATATTGTTTGTTTACATCCTAGTCTCTGGTTTCAGCTTCTCCAATGAGAGGATTCTGCATTTATACCACAATAAAGTGAATATCACTGGGGTTCGTCCTGCTGGTCATCTGAAGATGTCACCTTTGAGGAACAGAAAAAGAAAGGTGTTTTTAAAACTGGAAATTTAAAAAAAAAGTATAAAAGTTTATTTCTTTTTACACTCAATTCTATTTGAGTAGCAGTGTTACTGATTAACAGACTCAGTTTTATTTGTGCCTTGTCTGATAACCTCCGACTACGTTTCGTCAGTTTCAGGCCTCAATATGAATGAGGACAAACAAAATCTCAGTGAGGTGATAAAGAGTGAGATGAGAGGATGGTGGTGACCGATGAAAAACGAGCTGGCAAACACAAGCCTCTGGATGGTGATGATGCTGCTGCTGCTGCCAAAATAAGACAATTGTCTGCAAATCAGCCATGAGAGGGCGCTGCAGAGCCTCAGGACTGCACCCTGTGAGGGCCACTGTTCAGAGAAGCTGATACTGATAATCCTCACAGTTTGACTACAGCCATCTAATAACTCAAAATGCCTATTTCAGGAATCCAATTGGCTTGTGAAGTTACCTCAGTATCGTGGCCCATCAGTTTCACAGCCTTCTTTTCAAACCCTGAACTTTGTTAGAGGGAGAAATAAAGTGACCCAACTTCAAGCATCCACAGGAATCCACAGAATTTTATGTGATAAATGTTTGAAAATGATTAGGACTCTTTCCTAACATGGAAGATTAAGACAAGCTGCTCCTGAATACAGAGGTTTTAATTTCTCAAATGGGTTCGGGTAAAAGAGGAACCCAATCCACTTGATTACATTTGTTTTCAAAGAACTGGTTTGACATCTTATCAAACTTTGTTAAACGGTGGGTTGTAACCAACAGGCTCACGTGTAGTTTATCTTTAGAAAGTATAATAATTGGAGGCAGTTACTGGTAGCTGGAATTGCACAAGCAGAAAATCTCCGTAAGCGACAAAACCCACAGTTTTCACTTCCAATTTTTCCGTTAAAATGACTGTTCAAGGTTCAAAGTTAAGATAAAGTGAAGTTTCAGCAGTCGGAGTTAGATGAATCCAGTAGATATCTTACACTCTTTACTACATGCTTCACCTTTTTGTTTGAGGACTTTTTAAAATCTAAATCTGAACAGAGATGCACCAAGCCAACACCAAAGAAACAGCAGCAACCAAGGCCAACTGTTGCGCCACCTTACAGAGCAAAGCCTACAGCCAACGCCAGCTCCCACATACGCTCTGCACCTGCGTGAGAGGAAATATGTCTCCTTACCAGCAGGCGGTAGTAGTTTGTGTTCATCATTCAGAAAGGGAAAGCTGAAGACCTGGGACTGTGGATATACAAACTGTAAACAAAGCAGCTCTCGCTCACCACAGTTTTCATCTGCTTCTAACAGAGAATGTGTCTGATAAGTCGTTAGAAATGGCACTGGTGCTGTCAGCCCTCAGTCTTTATTTGTGGAAGAAGAAAGGAAGTTGTAGAAGTGAAAAATGAGGAGAAACCACACTAAGCTGAACAGCCAATCAGCACGGTCTCTCTCACTGATGGGGTCTGCCGCCTATTCAACATGCTGACTTGACCAAAAGGCCACTGACAGGGTCCGACCAGAGCCAACGGTGCAGGGCACAACACAGAAAAGTGTCATCTCAAGGTAGAAGTGGAAAAAGGTTAAACCTATAATTTAATGTGAATACAGACTGATGCTAAGATTAATCTAGTTATCAGATTTAAAGACACTACATACATAAAATGTTAAATGAGTGTTGTTTTGTACTGGAAAACAACCATCTTAACACGATGGGTTAAGACATATTTAAAAATATTAGAAATATTATGGTTAATTTTATGTTTGGTCATTTTAAAAAGATAAATAAGTTGCATACTTTTTTTAATAGTGGTGTACTGACTGATACACTATATATAAGGTAACCATTAACTACCTCAGACACCACCCTGACGGAGTCATGATGGCTGAAAACTTTGACATATAGAAAGTAAAATACTGGAGCTGGGCCATGTTATTTAAATAAATAAATAAAATTAAAATTGGATCAAGTTGCTTTGAAGCTCACACTGGTTTTAAAGTTAGAAAAATAAAGATTCAGAAGTCCAGAAAACCTCTTCAAGTACTTCAACCTTTCCTGAAACACAATAGAAAACTAAACTTCAGTGACTACAAATGCAAGTGCTGTATATCCACAGCTTAACTTTACACCACTGGACAAATCAAAGTCCTACACAAACACGACAACCTAGACCAAGGCTGTACTTACAAAAGACAAATCTGTTTTTAGTCCCAGACATTTTTACTATTTGTCTAAAAACTGCATTTTCTTGCTGATACATCACAAAAAATTACTTCTGCGCCAGAGAGTTAAAAGAAAAACACGTTTTATGGTTAATAATGCAGCAGGATAATGTTTAAAACACCGTCTAACAGCAGAGAGAGGTTTCCATCACTGTGGTGAGAAAACAAAATCAATAGCAGCTGTGAGAAGCGTCGCCATGCATGCACTGGCGACTGATTAATGGCAAGCTGCTTTGTCGTTGCTATTGGTTAATCGACTGAAAGTTCAAGGAGAGCTGCTCTCCCAATCAACCCTTATCCACTCAGACCAACCACAGCAACAGTGAGGACATTTACACACCAGGAAACAAGTTAAAACCTGATTAATGCAAAAACTGACGGATTGAGTGATGCTTTAAATGCCACAGTCGGATTTCTAGATGTGCCAAATGTTAAGGTGGAAATGAATACGCTTTTGTTGAAGTTTGTCATATTTCACTAGTTATTATGTCCCCTCCCTCTTAAAAGAATAGTTTGACATTTTGGTAAATACGCTTATTTGCCTTCTTGCTGAGCGTTGATGGGAAAATCGATACCATTCTCACAATCAGTACACTGGCACATAATTAGCTTAGCATTAAAAAAAAGGAAATGAGGGAATCGTTAGCCCGTTTCTGTCCAAGGGGGACAACATCTGCCTACCAGCACCTGATTAATGCATACATGTTTAATCAAGACGTTTTCAGACTTTGAGGCACAGAGGGAGAAACACAAGGTAAAGATACTGTGTGAGGTAAATGAGACAGGTACAGCATTAGGCCACGGATTTGGCATCAAGGTTCTCGGAGAAGTAACTCAAGAAGACCAGAGCCACCCTGTTAAACTACAAACATTCAGTTCACTGGCGGCTGTAGAAAGACGTTACACAATGATGTGTGCCGTCACTCACAAACAAACAATCCTGGGCCGAGTCCATCAGCAGCTTGGATAGAGATGATTAATTTACATTAATTAGCTAAAACTGGGAGACAGCTAATGTTACCGGCACAGTTTCAACACTGGTATTTGCTAATAAAAAAGAAAGAGACACAAAAAGGTTCAAGATACTCCTTAGTATTGGACTTATGAATTTGCGTATTGTGCAATAATCACCTTTATTGGCCAGGTAGGTTACACACAAGGAAATGTTTCCGGTACAGAACCGAGGCAGCCATCTGCGGCGCCACCTCAACTGATGGCTCTAACCATTGGGTCAATGGGGGGGTTCAGTATCTTGCCCAAGGACACTTCGACATATGGACTGGAGGCACCAAGATTCAAACCTCCAACCTTCCGGTTGGGAGATGACTGCTCTACCCACTGAACCATTTGCCCCCAAATGGTGCCAGCAATCAGAATCCAACCCAGTCAGACTGTGAAAGCCCCCTGCTTTAATCTGTACAACAACCTTTAGTGTAAAAATGACAGTTTACCATTTTACTGTATGCAGAACTGGTTCTTGGCTGGAAGCAGCTGGAGAGGACAGTACTGCTCAGAGCCAGGAAACAGCCCTGCACATGCTTTGGGTTTTGTACAGATAAACAAACTGTGTTGGATTCTATCAGTAGATTCAGACGTGCTGGTAGGTGGACTGCGTTACACCTTTGGACAGAGCCAGGCTAGCCGTTTCCCTGTTGTCTTTGCGCTAAGAGAACCAGCTCTTGGCTGCAGCTTCGTATTGACAGTACAGATCTGACCCGAGAGCAACATTTTGATCCAGCTCTCGGCAAGGAAGCACAGAAATTTTGTCCAACTATTCCTTTAGAGTAAAAGTAAACACATCAAGTATTATGAGGGTAAAAATATTGTAATTTCAAACATGTTAAAACTAAAATGTGATGACATTAATCTGATTATAACCTGTGTGTGTGTGTGTGTGTGTAAATGCACCCAGAGTTTGTTCTTTTCTGCTAAGCAGTGTGTTAGTTCAGCGCCAGCAGCCCCACACATCTGTAGAGTTTCAGAGGAAGCTGTGAGGTGTTGTTACTTTTTGAAAGGCAGTACAAGAGTCCTACCTTTTGGTAAACCTGAATGACATGTTTCTACAACAGAATCAGACAAAGAAACAGTGAAATGGTGAAGGAGAAGTGAAAGGAGGAGGGGCGGGTATGAGGAATCTAAACAAAAATGGGGTGATTGAATCAGCAACAGTAGGAAGATCCTTTTTGTCATTGATTATCGAATGATTTCAATTCCTCATTTTAGGTCAGTCACTACAGGAGAGATGTCGCTGGCTGGCTGCCTCAGAGGAACAGGGTGAGGTGCTTTATTAAAATTAGGGCTGAAACTAAAAATTATTTTAAATGCTTGCTGGTTATTTTCTTTATGATTTGGTCTATTAAATGCCAGCAAGCCGCAGAGTAAAGGTGAATGAAAAGTCCAAAGTGAAGTCTTACAATGTTTAGTGAAATTCAAAACCTCAGGGGAACATTTAGAAATTTTGCCTAAAAAATTAACCATTCGTTATCAGAATAGTTTTGACCAGCCCTTTTTACAAGCTGTGTGGTGAACCCTGAGAGCCCAAAAACGTTTCCAGATTTAATCCACATAATACCAACTCAAAGTGTGTTTTCACTGTATGCGTAGCATGAAGACGCCTTCATGACTATAATGCAGGAAAATGATCAGCAACCCTCTTTAATGAATCACAGAAGTAATACTGGCTGAAATTACTTGTGTTATGGCCCAGGAACTGACAGTAAAGGTGAAACTATGGCTCATCCAGAGCAGTTTCAGTTCTCTCTGGCAGGCAACCGGGCAGCGACAGATGAACAATTTAGATTTAAGAATAAATCACATCGTACAGGACAGTCAAGTGTTCCCCCAGCCTGTAATTAATCATCCTATATCTGCAAGGCACTGTGCTGATTGGCTTGTAATAGGAACAGACAGAGTCACAGGAGATTACACTGAGAATAGGGATGAAGTCCGTCCGCTTTCTATTCAAGTCCTCAGCATTTACATCAAGAACTCAGAAGCAGTGAATACGTGCATGTAAATGAAGGTTTCAGAGCTAAACTCCTGCTTTATTGATGTCGGGTGTGTCCTCGCCTACCTGCGGGTGAGTTTGGAGGTGAGTTTGGAGAACAGGTTGCTGGTTCCACGGCTGCGGGTCTGGGAGAGAGGGGCGGCATCGTGGGAGAGGGTGGGCGAGGCCGGCGGCCCGTTGTACGTGGCCGTGCGGCGGTCTCTCAGCTGCGCTGCTGAGGTGGAGGGAGGGGAGATGTTTCAATCTACTCATTCTCAAAAACTGACAGCTTCATAATTTTTCCTCTGCAGATGTGTACTTCAGTGTGCCTGTACCTGAACTGGTAGGTACTATTTGGTCTACTGTCTGAGTGTGATGGAGCCAACACAGACACGCTGACTCAGTCTGAAATGCTTCTGCAAAGCTTCTTTCCAAAATAATCAGACTAATCCTGGTCAGTGTTTACAGTGAAGGTCAAAGACTGGTACACAAGCATACTACTGCACTGGAAAAATCACATTTCCCTCCTTATCTCTAACATGGCAAAGAGTTTATTATTCCTACATGGATTTCTAATGCTGCCACGCAAAATTAGTCTTGCATGTTTGATGTCAACAGGGTAGGAAATTCAATAATAAAAAAAAAAGGTAAAAGCAGCCAATCACATCAGCTGGTGGGTACTGAACAGTTTGGTTAGTGGTAGAAGAGCAGGAGGACAATAAAAGCATAAATAAAATGTTTTAGTTTGAAGTTTGATAATGTGCAGAGCGAGACCGTTTCCTACAGTGAGAGAGGGTGTGCATAGCCACAGCCCCACAAACTACACCACTGTTCTGCAAGGCTGTGAAGCTAAAGTTCAGATTGGAGTGAACTGAACTTTGACTCCATAAATGTCTGTCCAGTGCCATTCTGACACTTTACAGTAGGCAAGAAGAATGAAAAAGTTCATTTGGCACATGTGAACTCTGATTCTCTGAGGAAACCCAGACTGACTACAGATTAAAAATTACAATGTGTTTTGAGACTCAAACTCTACCCCAAGTCTGTAGGACAGTGTGAAGAATGGGAACTTTCTGGTGGCTATGAACTGTGGTCCAAGGATAAACTTAGACCCCGGCTCCTTCGGTCAAAATGAGGATTAGGTTCTTGACTTTCTAACCTGGTTCATGGGCCTCTGGAAAGGTCCCTGTGGTAACAAGATCAAATCATCTTTCAGTGCAATTAAAGAAGCAGTTTTGCATTAATTCACCAACCAAAGATAATTTTAGAAAAGAAATTCAGCAGCTGCATCTATCACTGATTTCCCACCCTGGACACCGAGCGCTTAATAAGTAGAGAATTGCGCCCTGATCAGTTAAGAATCTAAACAGAAACAGTGCTGGGAGCCAGTGAATGGTGAAGCTCAGCCATCCTGTCGGACACCAACAGGTGAAGGATCCAGATGGGAAAGACCAGGGGTCAAAGTTCACAGCAGAGGATAGAGAAGAGACCAGGAACAGAGTTGAGAGAGTTTGTTATGGCAAATGTCTGCAGCAGAGCCAAGAGGTCCTCCAGTTTATGGCTGGCAGAGGGAGGATTACACTTGGAAAATATTAAACACACAGAGTTTAAGGCCTCGTCTGTCAACGGCCGCAGCTTGATTTCAGTGTGTATACACAGTTTTCTGTACTTGTGCCTCCACCTTTTTATCAGTGTCTGAAATAAACACCCAGCACACTCCAGCCACAGGTGAGACTTGTTTTGGTTGATGTGCTTCACTGATTTTAATATTAACAGACAGTGTGAACACCGTCTCACATGGGGGGGCCCCAGCGGGTGCAGAGTGCTGCACTGCAACATCCCCACATCAGGTGTGCCACCTCGAAAAGAGGCCAACATGGTCCAGAAAACCAGCTTCCCTTATCAAGGTCACTACAGGTTTGTTACTGATGCTTTTATTTATAGACCTAATCTGCAGCAGTCTTGATATTATTTCCAATCAAGAATCTGTGGTTCTAGTGTAAATACTGTCCAGCATCATCTAAGGTTTGAAACTATGTCACTTGCTCCCATTTCTTCACTTTGCTGTTAGTTAGTAGGGTTTTAATCGTCTACAGTGACATTATATTTTAACAATATTTAAAATATCTTTACATACAGGTATGTTGAAATCATTGCTTCACATCTAACCGTTTCATACCTGGTTGAACAAACGAGGTGATGCACTTCAGTTAAATGTATATTCATTGTCAGATATTAAATGGTCTAAAATCTGCATTTCAGACACTGACACACAAAAAAAGTTGGATGCACACTGTCCTGCCAGTTCTTCCTGGGAAGTGGTGTCCATGATTTAGTTGGGGTGTGAAGAAGCTGGCTGATGTGCAGGTTAGCAAGGGGTCAAACGGGGCGGATCCCTGACGGGGGGGTTGGGGCCCTGCCGTCTTACTTGGGCGAGCAGTAGTCCAACACGTAGTAGGAGTGGGGCAGCGTGGCCCAGCCTGTCTGGCAAGCGTACAAAGGGCTGACGGTTTGATACCTCAGCCGCACCGAACTGGACAAGGCAGAGGAGGGGCTAGTGGCACAAGCCATCTCAGTCATGCTGGTCACATCGCAAGACAAAACACCCCCACCCCACAAACACACAGGCAAAAATAAGATGATGAGAAAATGGAAAAGTAAATACAAGAAAGAGGGAAGAAAAAGAAAGAAACCAGGAAATGAAACAAGGGATCCTGTCTGCAATTTCTTTTAACAATAAAGGAGCTTCAGTGTTGAAACACTGCTGTTAAAGAAGTTCAGCCAGTGTGAGCTGGGAAGGCTGACGCTGAACCTACCAACATCCACATTCATGTTCATAATGAGTATGACAGCACCTAGACCACAATATTGGCAAAAGACACTCACTGGTGTTCGAGGACAGGATCCATAAAAAGCTCAGTCATCTCATTAAATGGTTATAAAGTGTATAACAGAGCTTTTGTGGCTACTGTACTTTACCGAGAAGACGTAAAAGTGGCACCAGCTCAAACTCTGTTCACTGTGCTCACATAGATTTTATGTTGAAGGCAGCAAACGCCCCCTCTCACCTGTTCTCCTTGCCGTTGGGAATGACGGCGAGGCGGTCCGTGTTGTTTCTGTCACTGCAGACATACGTGTTCCTCCTGGTCATGCCAGCAGATGCAGTGATATTCTGCAAAGCAAGACAGAAGGAAAAATCTGATGTTATACTGTTGAACAACGAATGCTTAGACGAGGCAGATGAGGCAGGCTGTTTCCTACCTAATCGTATGTATTTAAAAACAAAAATCAGAAACAAGCACGTTACAAATTAAAATGCAGACGACGCCCAACAGACCTCAGAAAAACTGAATACTTGGCAAACACCGGTGACTCACAGTTGAGATGTGGGTTGGCAAACTATTCCGATTTCACAAATCTCTGTAGTGAGTAGTGTCTGCCAGTTATTTTGTTTGTAAAGACGGGGAGGATGTCGCTGACCCTTCTTAGCGCTACTAGCATGAAGAGTTGTATTTGAGCTCTGCTATAAAGAACTCAACTTTACCAGATAATAATTTCAGTACGAGTTAAGATGTATCTTTTTAAAAAACTGTGATAAAGTTACTCACGCTCGGGCCTGTGGTGGCGCCTTTCCTGCGGTCAGGGATGTCAGCCTTGTTGGGGTTGTTAGCGTTGCCCAGCAGAGGACTGGAGGGTGGAGCGCCGCGGCCCCCTGGGGTGCTGGGTTTACGGAGCTGGACTCCACCTTCCTCCTTCACGTTGTTCTCCGCTGTGGTGGTCTGACTCCTTTTTGGATGAGCCATCCCTGGAGCGACGTTCTGACCAACTACACAGAGGCAAAGCAGAGACAGCTGTGTGATGGGCGACGCAAATATAGTGAAGCAGCATTTTCAAATTTAAGTGCTTTTATCTAAAATGAAATGACCGACATTTGAAAGAACAACAAGTCTGACACCAAGTGAAAGTTATAGGACATAATCACCAACACATTTTCAAAGTATGGTGATTTAAAGTATGGTTGGAAAACAAAAAAAAAATCTGTCACATATGCATGTTTTAATGACGAATAATCAGCTCGAGGCCAAAGCAGACACGTGGTTAGAGCTAAAGCATTTGGCTGATTATTCATTGACCTACGACACTGATACAGTGCAGCACACCAGATACCCAAGCACAGTGTGCTCCATGTCGCCTCCCCGCAACCCACTTAGCCAATAATGGCAAAAATGTTCTGAAAAATAACTAATATTTTTACCAAACTATTACTGTTTTTGTATCAGGAACACTGAAAGTGCTGTGGTCACTGCGTTAGAGGCGCACAGATTTCGTTTGAGAGGAAGCAGCACAAACTGAGGTCACAGTGGTTTATCACAGTGGACAGTACTGAGCTGTGCAAATAAAGCCAAAGATTCAAGTGCCTTAGCCATGTGACTGATCTGAGTTAACCGCTTTTATCAGCCTGACGACAAGCTGCTGACAGAAACCTTTATTAGGAGGAAAAGGAGTGTGAGCTGTGTGCTTCATTTTCAATCAACTCCAGAAAAGAAAATGTGCACAGCACCACAGATAAAAGTGTAACATGAGAAATAATGCCGCATTTATTAACCAAAGGAGAAACTAAATGTTGGCACCAACATGCCGTGTCCTCCTCACCCTGTTCGCTATAACGTCTCTGTTTGTGGTTGGAGGAGATGCTCCTCTGGACTTTGAGGTGGGAGGGCGACTGGCCGTTGAGCTCGCTGTTGGGCCTCGGCTTGGCCAGAGACAGGTTGCTGCTGGAGGCCGAGTCGCTGGGCTCCAGCTGGGGAACAGACACACAGAGGGAGCTGAAACATACAGACACCAAAACCTACACTACAGATTATTGTACTTTTAGATTTCCGTAGTCTACACACATGTGGACAATCCTGCCAGAAGCAGACTGGGTTGTGTACACTCACTCCTCTCTGGCTAAAAATGTAGGAAAACATCTCATCTCCACTAATTAAACTTCAGACTTTCTACATTAAGCTGTGGTTTATTGTGTGGTGATGTCGCCGTACTCTCTGTTGTAGATTAACTGTAGTGTGGTAATAACAACAGGCTGGTGTTTGTACCTCGGAGGCCTTCCTGCCCAGCAGCAGGTAGGTGGCTGTGATCTCATCATACTTCATCTTGGCCAGGGAGTCCTGGATCTCCTCCAGGTTGTAGCCCATCCCCACCATCACATCTGCACACACACAACCCATTTAAAAATATTACAAACACCATTTTAACAAAGTGTAAACATACTAAATGACTGACAGACCATGATGCTAGAGAAAAACTGCTCCTTGATGTCACAGATCAGAAAAACCTCAAGCCCAAGTGACCGATGTCTCCAAAGCTCTGAGATAAAGTCAAAATGACCCGCGTTCGGTGTTATTAACTGTGAATAATCAATTGAAGCGTGTCCCGCTCACGTCTGTGTCAGCATGCCAGGCGTAGCAGAGTGCTGCTTCCTGCTGCAGCTCCAGCCTCCACTGCTCTAAGCATCTGTGTATGTGCGTCTCCACCCCAACATGCTTTTATCCTTTCATCTCCACACTGTGCACCCTATTCATTTTTCAGACCCTACATCTTTAGAGACTGAGCTTTACAATGTGTTAGAATCACTTCCAAGCTGCAACATGACCTGTGCTCTGCTCTCAGGTCAATAATCACATGTTCAACATGAGATAAATGTCAATCTGTAATGAAACTATAAACAATATTACTTTAGCACATTTTACCTCCTGGCGTGTCCCTGGAACAGGCTGCTATACATGTCGGAAGTTACAGCTTATGACCTAAAGTTCTAAGTTTATTGTTAAATATTTTCAGAGACCAAAATGCCTCCAAATGATTCATCCTGCCTGATGCGATTTTCTTCCTGCCGGGGTGGAAAAGCCTCTCAGGCATCATCCTGATCATCACGTCTGCTAACACTCTGCGCTGAAAGCCGTACTAATGCCATTATTTTCGGTGGGTTAACAGCTTTCCACTGACTGACAGCTTCTGATTTGGTCAAATTAAATCTTTCCACACTGACATGGAGTCATTTAGATGTGACAAACGTAAGTAAACCGATAAAAGCCTCTATCTAAGTAACCCTCTATCAGTCTGAGTCAAGCTCAGTGCCCAACATGCTGTTCGACATCAGGCTTCATGGGAAACTGGCCGACACGAGCTCTGCCTCTGTAACTAGGCAGAATCTGTGATAAATATCTCTGGCATCCATCTCTGCTCTCTCCTTTCTCACTTTCACCCTCCTGCTCCCCCTCAACACGTCAACCTCTTTCTCTGCTGCTCACTCCTGTTTCTAATCATTAGACGGCAGCGTTCGACAGTAAAGGGATGTTTTCATGATCGGATTTAACTTTTAAAAAACTATGCATACGTTTGTTAGGGCTGCAGCTAAAACTTATTGTAATCAATCTGCTGACTCTTTTTGATTAATCCTTAAACAAGAAGAAAGGTCTTGGTATTATTAGATAGTTCAATATTCAAAAAAGCTGCAGATTATTCTCTCAATCGACTGGCCAACGATCATTTGAGCTCTAGTCTCCACAACATCTTAACATGGGCTCATTTTCTGTTAAAACAGCAACTCTCTCTACGCATTATAGCCTCTTTATGAATCTGACAACTTCCACTTCAGACTTGGTTTGACTCTGAACGACTGTTTTACATAAAAGTCACAATGGCAAACTCAGCTTAATTAAGACACGAGACCGACACGTCAAACTTACAGGTACTGTTCATATTCCTGACATCACCTCTCCACAAATACGCAGCTTTTCATTTGAAAATATGCTTAATTTAAAATTCTACATGCATTATTTAGGATGAGGGATTCCTCAGAAAGATAAAGAACTCGCTCTTGTTCCTATTTTCCCCACTGGGCGAACTGCGAGTTTGCACCGACGTGCACTGACAGCCAACTCCAGCTGCTGTTATTTAAGAGACCCCTCGGTTTGCAGCTTTCATCCAGAGCACGATGAGGAGGCTTCTCCCTCTGCGCCTTCACCCTTTGTATACGTCTACGACACTTCTCATGTTTGTTTATTCAGCATCATGTTTCATCTTCTCTCTTAAAGCTCTTCGGCACTGAAATAATGAGCCTGGCACACGTCTCCTCACTGCTGGATAGAGTCTATACTGTTTGAGTTTTTACAGTAATAAAGGAAGAGGAGAGGATGCCTTTTGTTTTTCTGATACTTGTGCACTTTTCTGATTACACCACTGGGTATCACAGGCCCCGTGGTCGTACAGCCTGCTGAAAACTTAAACGACTAAGCAAACCAAACTTTAAAAGTTGCAGCCTGGCAACATCAGCAGTTTAACAAGCATCACTCAGGATGTTTTCTGTTTTTGTTTACCTATTCTCTTCTGATCAGAGATGTCCAGCTCAGGTTCAGTGTAAGGCTTCAGCTCATCCTCCTCAAATCCTGCATTGATCCAGCGATCCTTCATGATTTGCTGCAAACACACATTGAGACAGATTGTGTGACACTGGGTTTCTGAGACCAATTTACAGTTACAAAAATATTACATGCATTATAGAGCCCTTTCACAGTAATATCCATATTGTACTGTGCTGCATCTCATTGCGTTTTTATTTTTAATTTGCAGCTGATCAGCTGCTCTCTGGAGGCCAAACTAATCATAAATGATCATAAAGCTTGTCCTATAAACCGTGAGGTGTCCTCGACTCACTGATCAAGTCAGGGAGTGAACAAGAAAGAATTTTGGTACAAACGCACAAATGATAATGCATTATTCAAGGTTACAACATCAGAGAGAAGGAGGACGGTGGGAGCCGGGCGCACACAGAAAACAACACTGTGGGAGTCAGAGGAGATGATGAGGGGCGTGGGGGGATGCAGGGACCAGGAGGAGGGGAGATGGAGGAGAGGTGGCATCCTCCGGCGGTGCAGAGTGCTGGGGGGAGTGCATTAAGGACAGAGATATATTTACATTTTCTGCGTCCTCCCTCACCTCGAGAGTACCACGCTTGGCCGGGTTGAGCACCAAGAAGCGTTTGAGGAGGTTCTCGCAGTCTGTGGACATGTAGAAAGGGATGCGGTACTTCCCCCGGAGCACACGCTCCCGCAGCTCCTGCACAGAAGAGGGGGACAAACATCAAGTTAGAAAAACACTGAAGCATACCAGATTCTCTTATTAGTGGACAAATGGATCTCAGTTCAGAGCTGAAGGGAGTGTGATGTCACTGACGCAGACAGTTTTAATACTCGGCTAATGCTTTCATTTGGTCATGACAACTAGGAAAACGTAGAATTGCAGAAAAATATTTAAAGAAAAACCTAATAGTGACTCTAGAACCTGACACCTAAGACTCAAATCTAGTGAAATTTTGACCCAGTTAATCAAAGCTATAGATTATGCACCTATAGAAGTAATTAAACAATTATGGCCAGCTCGTCACCTCTCTGAAGAGCAGCTGTGCATCTTGTTTTTCTTCATAGTAAAGAATTTCTAACAACATTTTAGACAGATGTTTAGATTCTTATCCATCAGGGAGGTGTTTGATTAGCTACAGAGTAACGCTGCAGCATGATAATGACCTCAGATGTTCAGTCAGAGTCATAAAGAACTATCTAGCCCTGCAGCAGATGGTCTGGCCCCCAGAGCTCTGATCAACATCATGGAGTCAGTCTGGGACCACATGAAGGACAGAATGAGACTGAATAAATCCACACAAGCGTTGCATGTTCCCCAATCTGCTTGGAACAACCTACCTGCCAAGTACCATGAAAAACTGCACACAAGAACAGTTCAGGCACCAAATACTGATGTAGTTTTTTCTGCTTGGGTGTGTTGGGGTACACCTTGACATCACCTGAACCTGGTTACAAGTGCAACAGAACACACATCTGACCAAACCATCAGAACTTACACACACACACACACCCCCCACCTTGAGGTTCTGTCCATCAAATGGCAGCGAGCCGCTGACCAGAGTGTACAGTATGACCCCCAGACTCCAGACGTCCACCTCCGGCCCATCGTACTTCTTCCCCTGGAACAGCTCCGGCGCTGCGTATGGCGGGGAGCCGCAGAACGTGTCCAGCTTGTTGCCCAGCGTGAACTCATTGCTGAAGCCAAAGTCAGCAATTTTGATGTTCATGTCAGCGTCTAGGAGCAGGTTCTCAGCCTGCAGAGAGGCAGAAACGGGTCAGTGGTTATGTCCCTAATCATCCACAGTGGAACTACCCAGTTCATATCCTGTACACGAGTTCAGATTTTTCAGCCTTATATTGATGAACAATGCTCATTAGGAGCGTTGGGATTCAAACTGAACTAATTACTCACAAGCTCTCAAGTATCAAGTTGTTTCAGAAAAAAAAAATGTCTTTATAGGGTCATCAGTGGAATTTAACAGCTTCCAAGCTGAAAAGTTAATCAACTTCACTGCTAATATAACCAAAGTCTGAAAGACATTGAGGGCTGCGTCTTATTTTCATTATCTATTACTTTATCAACCCTTTTTGATCCGACTTAATAAAGGAATAGTTTAAAATACAGTTGGGAAACTCTTCTCTGCATAGCGCCTGATAAAGAAATAGCCCGTCTCAAAACCACAACATGACGTTTTCAAATCGCTTGCTTTGTTCAGCCAACAGTCCAAACCCAATTTACAATGTCTGCTTGACAAATGATGAAGTTTCACTTTTCTCATCCAACACAACAGCTACAAAAGAAACGGTTCAAAAACAGGCTACTGAGACCCCCTGCGAGCCTTCCAGGTGCACGAGGAGCAAACAGCACTTTACCATGTGGCTGAGCATCACCACGACCCAGCAAATTCACACTTAAGGCAGTGGTGACACCGCTGAAGCCATGAAAGCAAAGTGGTCCATAAGTCATAAAGTCTGTGGGTCATTTATTACCACATACAGTAAAGTTTCATTAGCATTCACTAATAATACAAGGGTCAACCCGTTTTGGCGTATGCTCCTACATTATGAACGCATACGTTGTGGTCACAGGCTCTGTACCTGGTTGTGTAGGTGTGCTGGGATGGTTACGCAGAGGCACGTATTGATAATAGGACTTTAAACACAGTCTGGAACCATCCATTCAGTGGGGTAGTCACACAGGCAGAGCACTTTGGCAATGAGATTAACAAGTTTAACAGCAGATTAGATACAGATCGATTATCATTTGCACAGCATCTCAAATTTAGCAGCTTAACTTAACAGTAAACAGAATAAAAACAGTCATTATGGTGACATTTCCCCGAAGAATAAACATTTAAACAAAAAAATAAATGCATATTTAAGTGATCTTGCCTCCACAAGTCATGCGTGAACTGTTTGCAGCTGTTAAAATGTTATTAGAAACTGACTGAATTCATCAATATGGAGTTATTTAATGTGTTGATGCGTCATAAGCGTGTTAACACATGCGGCTGCTGAGCTCAATGGTTTGCCCCGATGGTGCACTGCATACATAGACGAGGCAGAGGAGACCGCTCCTCTCATGTCTCCCTCCTAATTCATGAGGCTCTACAGAGGAAACCGTTTCGACCTGCAGCTGTACAGATACATGGGCTTCTCCCACTGACGTGGGGATAAAAGTACAGAAGCATCATTATCTATACTTGGAGAAGTCAAGCACTTCCTGGCTGTAAAATGGAAGAGAGCCATTTACACTGCAACAGGTGAGCAGTTTAGACGGTTGCTTCCTCAAACATTTACAGATGCTCCCTCTCCGAGTTCATTTTAAGGCGGTCGCACAGCTAAACAAAGTCAGAAAAGGGCAAAGTCAAGCCTCATTAGCAACTTAGTGTTTAGGAATTAGACGTGGAAATATGGGATTTAATCCATGCATCCATTTTCCTCCGCTTATCCGGGACCGGGTCGCGGGGGCAGCAGTCTAAGCAAAGATGCCCCGACTTCCCTCTCTCCAGACACTTCCTCCAGCTCCTCCGGGGGAATGCCGCGGCGTTCCCAGGCCAGCCGAGCGACATAGTCCCTCCAGCGTGTCCTGGGTCTTCCCCGGGGCCTCCTCCCGGTGAGACATGCCCGAAACACCTCCCTAGGAAGGCGCCCAGGAGGCATCCGAAACAGATGCCCGAGCCACCTCAGCTGGCTCCTCTCGATGTGGAGGAGCAGCGGTTCTACTCTGAGCTCCTCCCGGGTGACCGAGCTCCTCACCCTATCTCTAAGGGTGCGCCCAGCCACCCTGCGGAGAAAGCTCATTTCGGCCGCCTGTATCCGGGATCTTGCCCTTTCGGTCATGACCCAAAGTTCAACGTGAGAGACGGAATGTAGATTGACCAGTAAATCGAGA